TGAAAATGGGGGAAAATCTCATTATGAAATAAATGTTTTTCTCAAATACACGTTGGACACAATTATTGGCACCCCTAGAAATTCTTATATATCTGAAATATCTGAAATATATTCCCATTCATATTCACAATTTTGAGCACACCAGAGTGATTATGAACTCCAGCCATGCCAGCCATGGCTTTCTGTTTCACAGAAATATAAATAGGAGGGGAAACAAAGGCCAAATTCCCTTAATCATCCAGCACAATGAGAAAAACCAAAGAATATATTTCTGATGTGCAGCAAAAGATAATTGACTTTAAGAAAAGAGCTAGAGCAGTGAAAATTCCCATTTCCACCATCAGGGCAATAATTAAGAAGTTCCAATCAACAGAAAATGTTATGAATCTGCCTGGAAGAGGACATGTGTCTATATCGTCCTGGTGAGAAGGAGAGTTTTAGTGGCCAAAGACTCTTCAAGGATCACAGCTGGAGAATTGCAGAAAAAGGTTGAGTTTCGGGGTCAGAAAACCTTTTTTTAAAAATGATCAAACAGCACCTACATCACCACATGTTGTTTAGGAGGGCTTCAAGAATAAAATCAAGAAAAGAAAATACAATCTCCAGCATATTCAGTTGTCAGACATGACTGGAACTTCAAACGGGACTGGCTTCTATGGTCAGATGTAACTAAAAAATTAGCGTTTAGCAGCAAACCCTCAAGGTGGGGTTGGTGAACACAGGGATAAAAAGTATCCCATGTGTACAATGAAATATACTGCTGTATTTTTGATGTTGTGGGCCTATATTTCTGCTGGAGGTCCTGGACATCTTGTTTAGATACATGGCATCTTTGATTCTATCAAATACCAACCGATAAAAAAATCTAAAAGTGACTGATTCTGTTAGAAATCTTATAATGGGCCATGTTTGGATCTTCCAACCGGAAAATAATCCAAAAACACACCTTAAAAACAACACAAAAATGGGTCACTGGGCACAAAACCAAGCTTCTGCTATGGCCATTCCAGTCCTCTAACCTGAACCCTATAGAAAATGAGTGTGGTGAACTGAAGAGGAGAAGCACCATCATGGAGCTGGGAATCTGAAGGGTCTGGAGAGATTCTGGATGAAGGAATTGTCTCTGATCTCTTGTCAGGTGCTCTCTAACCTCATCAGGCATTATAGGATTTAGAGCTGTTAAACTGGCAAATGGAGGTTTCAAAAAGTATTGAAAAAAAGGGTGCTGTTAATTGTGTCCAATGTGTATTAGAGAAAAACATTTATTTCATAAT